ATAGATAGATAGATAGATAGATAGATAGATAGATAGATAGATAGATAATCAACTCCTAAAGGTGGTCAGCTTCTCAGCTTTCAACTGTTTTCCAGTGCACAAGACGGAGCCTGGAGGAAGGTAAACAACTCATGTTCTCAAGGTCATACACTGTTCAAAGCTGAGTTAAGAATAAAATCCTGAGCTACAGCGCTTGGTCCTCAGCCTTTTTGCTATGCTGCAGTATGGCTATTTTTTCCTGTTATGTAATACACACTAATCTGATTTTCGTTTTCTTCTTTTCAACCGGAGCTCTGAATCAGCTAATCTTGCTAATTACTAGGACAGGAAGCCGAAGACCGAAAATGGCTCTGCAATCGGAGAAGCTCCCGGCGATGAGAGACGTTCTATTAGAAGCACGCCCCAAATGCTGGAACTCCGCATCTGCTCTGCTTTCTGTCTCCCTTAAGTTCCCGTGGCTCTCTTTCTTTTCCTGGGGGAGCTTAAACGGCCCCACCAGCCTCCTGACCATTGCTTTTGCATTGCCCTTTGGTGCACGGCTATTCGGGGGCTCCCATTTACTTCTGAGTCACAGCAAGGCCTGTCCGAGGGTAGCCACTTGTATCTTGGCCTTCACTTGCTGTTTGTCTTTTGGTTGTTTGACCTCCTGACTTCAAGCTCAGGCTTTGCTACCCTCTTGGTTCCATACCCAACTCTTAAGGACTGAGATACCAGGAAAACAATATGATGACGACCCAGGAGATAGTTGGGACCAGGAGCACCTATAACTCCAGAGACAGGTTCTAATTCTAACTTCTTCCAAGGGAACCCTCCCTCAGCCCTAGAGACTTCCTTTGTGTCCCCTTCATCTCTTTAGAAATAAGAGTTTCCTGGTAGGGAATCCAGTTCTTTATTTTGGGATTTTCCTTTCCAAATTATTAGGATTTTTACTGTTTTTCTTTTAGGCCCTGATAAGGTAATCTTTAAAAAACATTGTTTTGATTTCTTGGTGTAACTCATAAAATAAAAAGACGGAGCTCATTATCTCAAATGTCCTTCCCAGCTCTGCAGTTACATAATTGCAGGAAACTCTAGGGCACGTTTTCATATTTGGTGTGAGAGCTCGCTGGAACATCCACCCAGCTCTGGATAATCGTGGATTGTCTTTCTCAGCCTCAGTCACAGTGCATGGACCCCTTTCTTATTAAAATAATGGTCTCCTCCTCCTGGGTCAAGATATTAAAGTCACAGCAGCCACCAGCATCATCTCACTCACGCAGTGGGCGATCAGTTGTCAGAAAACCCTCGGTGAGATTTTTAACTAGGAAGCCATCAAAGTGAGAGTTTAAACTATAGTATAGAAATCACTTTATCTATTTGTAGCCATAAATATTGAATGGCGATATCTGGTGTGAAAGACCCTCGCTCTGATAACCGCTTGTGCTAACATCTTGCAGTAGGCGCTCCCCCAGCTGATGCTCAGGGTCTCAAGTCCCCCTCTCACCTTTCTCTGTCTTTCACTGACTGCTCAGCCATGAACGCTTTCAGTTCTTCTAGTCGCTGGAGATCTCTCGTTTCCATGTCTTGCCACTTCTGCTGCTTCTCAGCCCAGTATTTCCTTATCTGCCATATAAATGTTAATCAAATTTGAATTAACACTAGACAAAATGGAGGAGGGGCAACATCATCCAGCAGTCATTCATACAACAAAGATCAGACTGAAGAATGGGCTTTTTTTTTTTTTTTTTTTTTTGGTTGTGCTTTAGAACTGCCTGGAAAATATTGGCAACAGGAAAAAAAATAAATGAAAACATAAAGGCACAAGTCTCTGGAACTCTCCTGGCTTAACGGTTTCTGAAGTGGAAATGTAGTGTGTACTGAGACCTACGTTTTAATCTATGGCTGAAATCATCGACTTTCAGGGAAACGCACGCACACACACACACAGTGTGTTTCTGCCTCTAAAGCGTATGACCTACCTGTTACCCAGGAGTATTTTTATTCTCTTATGGTAATGCAGTCTTTAGCAAATATAACATTTGAAACTATTTTTACCTTAAAAGCGTGGGTTTATTTATGCTAATGGACAGCCGGATGCTAAAAGCTTTATGCTCCCGGGGAAATGACAGGAGATGGGTGGGAGGAAGGAGGGAAAGAACAAATTAACAAGGTTGTGGTAAAGAGTAGTCTCGACCTCTGTGGTAAAACAAAGGTCGTGCTTCTCAGGTTCACAAATGTGGAAGGCATTGTTCTTCCTGAGTTCTCTTTGCTTCTCTCAATGGAAGCAAGCAATAAGCGCTCTTTGTAGGGAGGAGAAATCATTTCAGGGCTCCACAGTGTGCTTAGACAACTCAAGCTAATAAAAGCCCCTTTCTTCTATTACTCTAGGCTGCCATATTGCTGGCTCAAGACACTGGATCTTGCTAGTGAACGACAGAGAGGCACCTCAGTGGTGGCAGGCAGCAGTCCCCAGGGTGGCTGGCTAGCCTCACCTCCAGTGTGGCATTTTGTCTTCTGAGAGTTTGGATATGAAAAGCTAAGTGGTTTCCCAGCTGGCCCTAGAAGCATGGTGTTTGCCCTGGGAGCCTCTCAGGAGGCAGCCTAGAGAGGCAGTCGAAGGTCACAGCCAGTGCAATGCTGCAGTCGCAGGGAAACGTGGCACAAAGTGGTACTCACCCAACATGACTCAAGACAAAGTTTAAAGAGAGAAACCAGAAAGAAGCCAGCAACAAAGATGGTGTGTGTGTGTGAGGGGCGCGGGGGGGGGGGGATAGGATGAAAAGAAGTACAGTCCTTGTGATAAATGCCAGGAATCCCCAAGTGTCAGGCAGGATAATAGTTAAATCATCTCCACTGCAAATCTAAGTGATCTTCATACTTTTCTGTTTTGTTTTATTTTGCTTTGCAAAAAAAATACCTTTCATTCTCAAGGTGCTGCTGCTGCTTCAAAATCAAGTTTGAAAAAACACATGTAAGAGACGGAAGAGAGCTTCCTCCTGGGTCACACCAAAGCAATGACATTCGCTTACTCTTGGCACTGGCCTGGGTGGAAGAGCGGCGCTCCTCCTGGGGACAGGCTGCTAAAGCCCTCTGTCTCTGACAGGACTGGGTGTATTGCCTTTTGTAGACCAGAGAGTATGCTATCCCCTTCCCTCCCTTCTTTCCTCCTTTCTTCCCTCCATACCTCTGTCCTTTCTTCTTCCTCCTCTTGCCCTCTCTCTCCTCACCTCTCCTTTCCTTTCTTCCTCCTTCCCCTTCTCTGTGCTGTCATTCACAGTGCTCAATCCTGAGCCCAGCCCTGGGAAGCCTGATCTGAAAGGATTCTCACAGCTCTGCAGGTCAGGGCACCTCTTCCTGCTGCGACTACAATCCTGTGGCGGAGAGCTCACTCTCTGACGCAGCATTCTGGGGAGTGCTTTGCATTTGTTACTATGACTTTAAGAACACAATCACATCTTTCTCACACGTAATTCCATCTAGTCTCCATTTTTGTATTGTCTGAATATGGACCCTTTGCCTGTTCTTCTCAGTGCTCTGTGTGGCCTTCCAGGGCACCTCCAGGTCCTTGTCAAGCCTTGCAACACCTGAGTCATCACCTCAAACCTACCCTGCCTGTCTAGGCGACATTCGAATTCCCTTTCAAGCTGCCGTACTTATAAGGTCTTCTATGGAACTGTGTTCTCCTTCGGCATTTGATCATCATCGGTGTCCTACTTCTAAAATCTTCAATTATATAGCAACAGACTCTTTGACAAGAGCTGGTTCCTCTCCACCTCCATCCCCGGCGTTCTAGCTCAGTAGTTTGGTTTGGCCCTCAACATGAGGCTTTGCTAACTAGTACAACCTCTCTCCTGCCTGATTGCAAAACATGTGATTTACTAATCGTGGCACTTTGAGTGTCTTCTAGAACACTGAATAACCATTTGATTAATGATACAATTGTATGAATAGGTATAAAATTCATGGCCTTGGTGGGACCTTCAGTGACAACTATTTTTTTAAATGAATTCTTGGTCAATAGTTCCTAATTTCTCAACAACATTCCAAGACACATTCCCTACATTCTGCTCTGTCCCCACCTATTTCCCACTTTTCACAGGCCACGAGGAAGTTCTAACTTTCCTTCATATCCCACCAAGGAGAGGAAGGGCTATCCTTCCTTCAGTGGTCATAGTACATGCTCTAAAGACTCAGAAAGATCCTTACCCCATGTGCAGCTCTCAACTCTTAAACCTCCCTGCTCCACCACCTGTCCCTCCTTCATCCCGCCTCAGCTGTCTCTGTGCTGCTTCCTCCTCTGCAATACAATTAACCACAGACCCCTCCATCTCAAATCTTCAAGGAAGAAGACTACTTGGAAACCACAAAGATGGTAGCAACGTGCCATTCAAAGTTCGTTCTCATTAAAGCAACAATTTACTATTTTCCACGTTCCATCTATATTATTCCCGACTCCCAGCATTCTTGCCTCTGCCTTCTACAGAGGAAGGGTTTACCAAGCAACAGGGAAAGGAAGGGCAATTCTACACGAGCAGTCAATCCAAATATATCAGTAACGATCCAGGCAAACCTGCCGCCTTCTCTGGTGACTCACAAGGGATCAAATCAAACAATCATTTCAACTTTTATTTTATCAATAATTGCTGATTCTGTATGTTTCCATTAACCTTTAAGTCAACTGTTAAAACATTATTGGCTTTGGCACTCACTTGTTCAGTTAATATTAAGGACATGCCTGGAGCCATATACCATACACTACTTACTTGGGATGTGGTATTTATAGCAATTATCAAATTGGGACTTAGTAAAGACACAGTAAAGAAATAGATGAGTGAACAAGTCATTACATATCCTGCTAATTCCTAAGAAGGAAATAAGTAGGGTGATGTTTCTGAAGAGTTTGGGTGGCTTTATTCGATGGCATTTTCAGATGCTTTCAATGGGACATTTGGAGGAAAGGTTGAAAGATGGCAAAACAGCCTTTGAGGAACTAGAGATCATTGGGGGACATGGAAGCTGTGGGGTCAAGAGCATCGGCCAGGAAAGAACTCTCATGTTCTAGAAATCAAGATGAGACTGAACCAGAATTGGCGGGTAAATCTAGGAGACTAGAATTGGTTGGTAAGTGAATGCAGAAGTCCAAAAAGGAGAGCTGCCGGGGGTTCACATGAGCAGGCCGTGACTCCGACACAAGGAATTTCAATCCAGCAGTGACAGGTATGACTCTGGATGGAAAATGTTCTGCCTGTTAGATGAAGAATGAAGAGTGAGGTGCCAAGGAGTATGGAGATCACCTCGGAATGTAGGGCAAAGGTGGTCACTTGGGCTAAGAACTGGAGAGCAATGTAGGGGTGAGGCGTTCTTGAGTGTGGGATCAGCATGCTTGCTGAGGAGCTTTGCATATTCAAGGCCTGGACTAAAGAGCAAGCAGTGGGCCCTAGCATTTTGCTTTAGCCACTGTGAGACTGAAGCATTAGTAACTGAGATGAAAGAGTGGGTTCCTAGCAGGCTTGGAAAAGAAGCAGAAGGTCACTTTGGGGCATATAGATCCTGATATGCCTACAACACCTCTACTAAGCAGACACAACGGACATCTGGAGGTATGAATTGCCGCAGGGAGAACTCAGTCCTGGGGGCCCAAATGAAACATCTATTTACAGGAAAATATCTGCTGTCCAAGACTAGGGAGAAAAGGTGCCAGCCTTATTTACATCTTCATTTTCACAGCTGTTCCTAGGAGAACGGCTTACCTTCTCACCTCCGTGGTGACATCTCATTAAGTTGTCAGGACTAGAACAAGCCTAGCTCCCCTGCAGCAAGGACCCTTGGCTTATTATTCATTATGCTCCTCGTCTTGATTCGTTCACATGGCAGTTCCTGGGATTGTTCCCGGCCTAGGGAGCCTTTGCTATATGCCTGGGGTTTCCCTGCCTTTTGGATTGGGAGACCCCTCTGGGCCCTCTTTTAAGACTTACCCTTCAGGACTGCCATCTTAGCCATTCTTCCTTTCTCCTCTCCCAGATACGGTGAGGTGTGCCTGCTTAGAGCATCGTTTGTTTTCTTGGCACAGCATTTCCCATATGGATTTTATTATTTAGCGCCGTATTCCTTGTACTTTATACTGTGCCTGGCATACACTGGAGTTTAGATGGTCACTGTTAGATGAGCAGACACTTTCTCCTAGTCCCTGGCCCAAGAATAACAGTTGTGGATTGGAACTGGGCCAGCGGTTTTATTTGTAAGAGGGTGAAGTCTGGACTAAGTGCTTCCCCAAGGAGTGTTCCATTCACTTCTCATCAATTAATAGGAGCAGAAAGCGTGGATCGAGAATTATTGGCTCTGCAAGCTTCAAATTAAAATCCTGGCTAAGCACGTTCAACTAGACCTTTGAGATACTTGTTGAGACACAGGGCCTAGATGCACTGGGTTTTAGATTTCTTCTGTAATCTTTAAAACGTTCAAGTGAAGGCTGTTCAGACAGTTAATGTAAGTGATAAATCGAATGTCAAGTTCTTGCTTGAACATGAAGTTTCTAACAAAACAAGCTCTCATTGCCCTGCTTTCCTCCGGGGGATGCTGATTTGTCCTGGATGTAAGCGGTCCCTTTTCCAGAGTCCCCCATC